TATATATATATATATATCTCTATATATATTTGCCTATTTAGCTTTAACATTACAGTAATACAGATTTTATTGTTTCCCTGGAGTCTTTGTAGCCACAGGAGTTGAATGCAAATATGTTTTTGCATTTAGAAAATTCGTTGAAACCATTTATCAGTAGTGTTCAATATTCACATATCATAATCATCTATATAGAAAGCATGTACCGTGTACTCATTGTAGTTGTTCTTTCTGTTTAGTGATAAGAGATTTTCTGCTTTGGGATTTGGTGCACGCATTCCCCCGAAATATGAGGTAAGTGAATGTTTTGTCTTTATAACATCCCTGCACTTTGGTGCCAAAGTAGAGATATAGCCACAAATGTAATCCACTGACAAGTCCAGCAATCCTTCAGAATTCTTCAGTTCCAATGATTCCTTTTTTCTGAGGGAGGAACATTCATTCTCTTGGACATCACTGCCATGTCATATCCACACCATCTGCATTTCCCAGAGCCGGGTGATATATGGTGTAGAGATGTGATTGAGTCATGGGACTTGTTTATTTGGAGAATGTAGGAGGGAGTAGCTTGGCCCAACATTCAGTTCCATAAATGGAGGAAGAGTCTATTCTGTAGAGTACAATAGCTCAGGTTAGGCATCTCTTCCACACATATGACCTCAAAGAACATCCAGTAGGTGGAAGGAAACGAGCACCACTACCAATCATTATTCTGGAGTCCAGAAGGATTTATTTCATTAAAACAATGCAAGATAACAACAAGCCATTATGTTTTGGGGTTTGTAAATTACCCTCTACATCAGGGCTTTAAAAGCAGATTTGGCAGAAACTGGTGAGATAAAATGAAAGAGCTTTGGATAGGTTTTCTATGTTTGGTTATTTGAGGGGAAGATAACCATTGATTTACAAGGCGAATAATATTTAGACACATTTCAGTGTTTGAAGATGGATTTGTTGCATTGTATATTTATGCTTTATATATATACAATTATAGATATTTGGTGAATGTTGTATTCTTTATTTAATCAAATGAACAGTTTAAAAGTGAAAGGGGGTTGGGTGTCTATTTCATCTTGTGTTCGCAGTCATACCTTTGTCCTTATTGCACATGTTGTTCCTGGATTTAGTATAGTGGTACAGATCCACTTACAGCCCTCAATGGACGCGCTATTAGTCTCATGATGCTAGGCTAAGAAATGTGTTGGGGATGGAAGTGTGTGCTCTCTATGTCTCTACATAATAACGTTATCTAATAACTGCTGTAGTTCTCTATTGACCAATGCTGCAAGCGGGATTGCTGGGTTCCAGGCAATTTTGCACTGTCTTTGATGAATTTGGGTAATGGAGCGTCGGTGGACATTAAAGCAGCCATGGGAACACAGACTAAATAGGTTATTGTTCAATATCTTAATGTGATTAATGTTTTAATCTTGCATTATTCCACCTGATTTCCCACAGGTATCTACAGCACATTAGGACCCATTCCCTGCCTCAATCACTCTGCTTTAGTCTTCTGTCTCCCCCATTTATAAAAGAAGGGCAGATTGATGGATGTGAGCAACACAGACAGTTGTTAATTAAAGAGTCATTTCAGAGAGCAGATAAAATGATTTTGGAGAATGCTGATACATCCAGGAATAATTGTGACTGTGCTAAAGTCAAAGAATCTTTTCAGTTTGTGAATTTTAGACCAATTTCCATTCAGATTTAGCAGGGCTTTTGCAGGTTCTTTGGCTTGGAGTAAAGCTTATTGCTGTGCAATATATCTTCCTCCAGGGGTCTGCATTGTGGGCAGATCAGGGGTGCAAAATATGCTGTTTTAATACGTAAATAGCTGAGGTTTACTATTTTTTGTGATCGACTTGGGCGCACCTTTAGACATAAGACGCAATTTGTACTGTGACCTACTCTATATTTCGCTCCCTTTATTCTCCATTCTTTACATCTGAGGAGATGTAATCACTGGCCCTCAATAATTAGAAGCACGAGAAAGGTCTGTGTTTCTCGGCCTCCGCACTGATGTCTCGAGCACTTTGGAGTATTTGCCCAATTTAGGAGAAGATAATAATGAATAATGCACAAGGATCTTTCTTTTAATCAGTGTTTCATTGCAATGAGGCTCTTCTCTCAATTAAGTGCTGATACGGCAAATCAAACAGGAAATGTTTCGTTTGAAAAGCGTCTTTGAAGGCTCTTACAATTTATCTTGGTACGTACATAATTGGAACATATTGATCTGATAGGACTACATTCAGGATTAGACCTTGTTCACATGCACATGCGCGGCCAGCAGATGGGTGACTTTAGGTGGCGGTCCACGTCAGTGCTTGAAAACCACAGAGGACTCAGTAATGTACTCCCTAGCCTGAAGGGAGGACTGTCAGAGGTGTACCCTGAGCATCAAGCAGTTCAGGTACAAACAAGGTAAACAATGCTAGAGGAAAGGCAGTGAAAGCAGTTGTATTTAGTGGGAGCGTGGGAGACATTTTTTTTATAGTACAAACATGTAATTATTAAGTGTTATGTACTTGGATGGGAAGCTCTAAATGATGAGAGTGGCCTCTGTTACTGCTCCAGTCAAAACATTCCTGGGTAAGAAGATAGGGAATGAAGGAGGGACATACGTGCCTGTGGACAATGTTGAAATTACTGGAAGTTGAGTAATATTTGTCAGGTGGTTTGTAGTGACGAAGGCCACTGATGATAAGAGGTCAGGAACAAGCCTGGTCAGCAAAGGCCTGGCAAAAGGGCACCAAATCAGCAGGACGAGCTGTGCAAACAGTTTATAAATCAGCCCCTTTGAGTTAGGCCATTAATTGTATGGTCATTCAGCCCCTTGCCATTTATTGTAATGTCACTAGATGGAAGTGAGTAGCATAATTCCAATGCTCCTCAGCTCCATCTAGTTGCCATACAATACTGCAAATCTCATTCACACAGCGAATAGCTGTGGGAATGCTTCATAAATAGGCCCCTTTACCCTACACAAACCCTAACACTTTTCTAAACATGAAAGGTCACCTGAGGTGACTGTGTTTAGACCTTTTGGGAAAGATGAGGACGCACTCTGCAGACACCTCCAGCACCAGTTTATCGGAGGGAATTAATGGCCGATCACTGTTCCCCCAGATGGGCCTCAGCTGACATCGTCTGAAAGTTCCCCATAGACATTAGATTCTTGTATGATCTGGCCAAAACAGCCAGATCTGATTCTTATGGGCACCTTAACACCTAAATGTTAACTAAAGCTTAATCCAACTATTGAACCTAAACTTAAACCTTATATACCTAAACATCAGAGCTCAATATAGTGACACACTAAAGACTATTTTTGAATATTTGATTACTGTAGTTACTGCCATAAGACCGAGTTCCCAAAATTGGACAATTGTGTATTATCATCACAGCCTACTCAATGTTTATGTGGCCCTTTCACATGTTTCACCAAGAACCAGGGACATATCAATCGGTCTACTATATCTTTCTTGGATGTGCCCAACACTTAAAGGACAGCTGTACTCTTTTGCGAAGAGCCACCCCCACCCCTTACCTACTCACCATAGTTTCAGAGCCATGGTTTTCTCAGTTGTTTACAGACTGCCTGATGAAGATCTCTTTAGTGCTGGCAACGTCAACACATTTGATGCCCACAGGAATAAAAACTCGACAGGTGTTCTAATCCTTCCCCACACTATTCAAAACAAACAAAAAGGTATTTGGCTTGACATATACTTTAAACGGTGTATGTTCTCCTAGGAGTAAGTATGACATTTTGGAATGAGTTTGGTCCTAGATGTCCTTTTTCCTGTCTCCTTTATTGAAAGAAAAGAAGGTAAAAGTGATAATTGGCTTTTTAAGGGACTTTAAGAACTCCTTACTTTAGAACAATGTCCCGCTTTTTAATTAAACAAGAATTCTTTAACCAATCTGAGTTTTATGGTGACTAAGACGGTCGTCGACGTGGATTTTCTTTGTTTGAGCAACTGCGCTAAAAATGATAAATTATTATGGTAAACATTAGAATGAATTATAGTTGAACCCTAATTTTGCTTTCATCCTCAGCCTTACAGAGTTTGGTTTAATTAATTGCATCAATTATGTGCGGGTAATTACGGCAGCTGCAATTATCCTTCATGTGATTGCTCAAAAAGGGCCCCGGAAATTGATTTGAAAGAATTTAGTTACTTAAAGGGCTACTAAAACAAAAGCTGACTTGCATAAAAATCCGGTAGTAGACATTCATAGACACCTTTAAAGAAGTCCCTATTTTTTAAGAATAAGAGATAGTTAAAGGGGTATTGTGGTAATGTGATCAGGGTATTTGCAAATAGCCCTTAATGGTGTTCTATACCTAAACCCTACACCCTCGTTCTATAAGGTAGACCTAAACCCTACATCCTCGTTCTATAAGGTAGACCTAAACCCTACATTACTCTTTATCTCCTTGTGTTCTAACCTACCCATATTATGTTTAAAGTTTGAAGCATTGGCTCATTGATACCTGGAGGGAGCCCAAAACTTCTGAAGGGTACACATTTCAGCAGTGCTAGTGCTAGCGTTGATTGAGGAGCAGAAAGGAAGGAAGGATGGAGGAGTAGTTAAAAGTAGCTAAAGTGAACCTGTCAACCACACGGGCAATTCATACTGAGCAGATGATTAAAGTGACATTAAACCCTCAGATTTTTTAACATAAACCAATACTGTAATGTGCGCCTTACTGTAATCCCTTCTCTTTGCTGCTCTTCCTTTTAAATCCTTATCTCTTCTCATGCTGGGGGAGAACTTCCCTTTGCAGCTGAGTGCCTCTTCCTGTAGTGCTGGCTCAGGTTGGGAACCTGCACACAGACACCATGTATCCATTCCAGAGACAAGGCAGTCTGCTGCAAAACAGAAGTTCTGCCCAGCATGAGAAGAGATACGGATTTAAAAGGAAGAGCAGCAAAGAGAAGGGAAACAACCATGGATTGCAGTAAGGCACATATTACAGTATTGGTTTATGTTAAAAAATCTGAGGGTTTAATGTCACTTTAACAATTGCTTAAACCCCTGGTGCCCAACCTGCGGCCTAAAGTCCACATTTGGCCCTTTGGTGTTTGAAGTGCGGCCTTCGGACCTTAGCAGTCAGTAGTTGGAACATTGATTTGTAAAGGGTGTTTAATAATGGTAATCTCTAGCAGTTTTATGTAACATGTGCCTAGTCTATGACTTTTTCCTACAGCATGCCTTCAGTCTCCAAATCTCTTGTAGAACAATCTCTGACCATTTCCTCTAGGAAGTCTTCAGTCTATGACATT